CTGTCACTTCTCCGGCTCTCTCTCCTTCTGAGCTTTGTCTCCTGGAAGTTCTTGAAACTACCTGACATAGTTACTGCTGCTGCTTGAACCAACAGACCACCTCAGTTTTGTGGTTTGGCAAAATATTGACCTCCACCACCATAAGGGCCAGAGCTTCTGCCTCCAAAGTTTCCTCCCTTCATGGGCCCAAAATTTGAAGACTGATTGTTGTAATTGCCAAAATCGTTGTAGCTACCACCACCTCCAAAGTTGCTGCCATCATTACCAAATCCATTATAACCATTCCCATAGCCTCTGTATCCTCTACCACCACAGCTGCCACCATAGCTACATTGTCTACTGAAGTTTCCTCCTTGACCAAAGGTTGTCATTCCCATAAAAACCCCCTCCATGGCCACCACTAGTTTCCAGAACCACTTCAACCTCTATGGCTGGAAAAGGCACTGGCTATCTCTTGCTTTGACAGGCCTTTTCTTACTTCACAGTTGTGACCATTCACAGTATGATATTTCTGAATAATGACTTTGTCTACAGAATCATGTTCTTCAAAAGATACAAAAGCAAAACTCCTCTTGCCGCTGCCTTGGTCAGTCATGATTTCAATCACTTCAATTTTCCCATATTGCTTAAAATAATCTCATAAGTGATGTTCTTCAGTATCTTCTTTAATTCTGCCAAAAAGATCTTTTTCATAGTTAAGTAGGCACATGGTTTTGGAGAATCGTCTCTTGAGACAGCCCTCTTAGGTATCCACCAACTTTTCATACACGTTGTGGACCTTGCATTCATGGTTCCATCCATTGATTCCATAGCTGAGTATGTGGCTAACCCAAAGACCCTGGAGTGCTTGGTGTATGGATTTCTCATTACCACCCTGTGGGAGTGTCCCCCATTGTTCAAAACGGCTCCTCAGATTTCACCTGTCATTTCAAAGCACAACCCTCCAATGAAACCTTTCTGCAGCTGGTCAGTCTCTTAAAGCACTGATTTCAACATGGTAACAGTGGGAATAAACACTTTATAGAGAAGCTTCCTCGGCAGCATTCTCCCACAGAAAGTGAGTCACCTTTTATTGAGAATTGAAACAAATTTGGATTTCTTCCAGACAGACAGTCATATCTGCCTTCAGTATTTGTTTGTAGAGACTCAGGAGCATGTCCAGGGTTGCACCTAGTTTCCTGATGCTGCTTCCTGAAATGGTTCTTTTCAACCAATTCTTTATAGTACAGTGGTTTGAACCATCAGTGGTCTGGGACACCATGTTGTTACTGTTTAAAATGGTGCCAAAATTACAAACTAGACACCAAACAGAATTCATTCCAGATGGATGAACTCAAACACACACACACACACACACACACACACAGAGCCAGTAATGTCCTATGTGAAACTACTAAGCATTGTATAAGACAATATCAGTGAACCAACACGCTTACAAGACTTAATCCAAATGTGAAAGGATTAATGCATTCCCCTATTTGTCTTTTTTTAAAATTAGTTCTACCTGACCCCCCCAAAAAAAAGCCTTAAGCAAAGACCAAAGACAAAGTAGGAAATCTTTGCAATTCATACAGAGCTGGTATTCCTAATTTACTCATCAGCCCTACAAACTGAGACAAAGCATTCCTGAGGGAAAGGATCAGCCGCTAGGTACGCAGACATGTTGCCGCCTCGTGTCCTTTCCCGTTGGTGCTAGACGTGCACCCAGCGCATCCATGTGCTGTCCATGATATGAAGGGAGGGGCCACAGGCATGGATACAACTGTTAGACTGAGGAACAGTGCTGGCCATTGATGACCAAGGGACAGTAGCAGGATAAAAGGATGAGGCTGAGAAGGATGGAAAGAGCCAAGTTCACAGGGGTAGATGCAAAGAGCTGAACGTCTAATCTTTCCCTCCTCTTTGTATGCAGGTATACTAATTGTCTAGCATAGACAGACATGATTGTACTGAGAACAGCCTGACTTCTACTTGAAAGAATAAAAAAAATACATCTTTCTTCCTCTGTGAATACTTGATACAGGTTGAGCCAACTTGGTAACGTATTAAAAGTCCATCATTTCGCTTTCGGTTTTCGGCTCGGAGGAGGCTTCGGTGCAACTTTCTTCAGTCGTCCCTCATCGGTTCATCTGACCAGCCACCTCCGCCATGCCGCCCAGGTTTGACCCCAATGAGATTAAAGTCGGGTACCTGAGGTGTACCGGTGGGGAAGTTGGTGCCACTTCTGCTCTGGCCCCCAAGATCGGCACTCTGGGTCTGTCTCCAAAAAAGGTTGATGATGACATTGCCAAGGCCACCAGTGACTGGAAGGGTCTAAAGATTACAGTGAAACTGACCATTCAGAACAGACAGGCCCAGATTGAAGTGGTGTCTTCTGCCTCTGCCCTGATCATCAAAGCCCTAAAGGAACCACCCAGAGACAGAAAGAAGAAAAATATTAAGCACAGTGGAAATACCACTTTTGATGAGATTGTTGGCATGGCCCGGCAGATGCAACACCAATCTTTAGCCAGAGAACTCTCTGGAACTATTAAAGAGATCCTGGGAACTGCCCAATCTGTGGGCTGCAATGTTGATGGCCGTCACCTTCATGACATCATAGAAGACCTCAGCAGTGGTGCTGTGGAATGCCCAGCTAGCTAAGGAACTACAGGTGAAAATATTTCAATATAGGATCATTTGTTAACAAACAACAACAACAAAAAAAGTCCATCATTTCTGTCTCACTCCCTAAGCTAGAAGGAAAGCCCAGGCAAGTGAACGCCAGGCAGGCACGTCATTGCACTTAGAAAAATCTTCCTGTAACTCACCTAGTGGCCAGACCTGATGGAAAATGTTCCTGGAAGCTCTGGAAGGTGGTATATATTGGTCTCAAAACCTCAGGTCAGCACAGTTGCAGTTGCAGGTGAGACTTGGAAACTTCCGAGAAGTTCCCCTGAGGAGCGGGAAGCCACTGAGAGCCTGGCCCCAGGTGTGTGTCTATGTGCACAGCTGTGCAGGTCAGCCATCATCTCCAGTTCTCTGTGAACTGAGCAGCTGTACTCAGTGTCACATCTGCCACGTTCACAACCACCATTAATCATTACTCATCCAAGATGATAAGGCCAACAGTCATCTGCCATGACAGCATCCCCACAATGTGTGGTCAGTGTAGGCCACAAGAAAAGAACTTCAGTAATTTCTAGAGGCTCAACTGATAATTGATCAGTGTGCATTCAAGTTGTGACCTGCTATCCATAAATTAGACGTTCTCTGTAAAGTGACATAAGGTTCCCTGGTGGTGCAGTCATGAAAATGTTTGGCTATTTACTGGAAGTTCAAAGGTTTGAACCCACCAGTCACTCTGTTCCACAGGAGAAAGATGTGACAGTGTGCTTTTGTAATGATTTAAAGCCTTAGAAAATACCACAGGCAGTTCAGGGGGACTATGATTCCAAATTGACTCGGTGACAGTTGTTAGGTACCGCTGAGTCATGTAAGTCTCATAGTAAACCTGTGAATAAGATCTGAATGCTGTCCTGTCCTGTGCAATCCTCACAATCTCTGATACACTGGAGCCCAATGCTGCAGTCAGTCTTCCTCTCTTCTGCTGTCCCTCCACCTTCCCCAGCATAATGCACATCTCCAACAAATAGTCTTACAAGGCAACATGCCTAGAGCCTGTAAGACAATCGCCTCCAAGGAGCACTCTGGCTGCAGCTTCTCCAGGACACAACTGTTTGTTCTTTTGGTAATCCCTGGGATAGTCAGTGCTCTTCTCCAACACGACAGTTCAAAGGCATCAAGTCGTCTTCTGCCAGCTGTATTCACTGTCCAGCTGTTAGCAACATAGCAAAGTGACGGAAAAGACCATGGTCTGAGTCAAGTGCACCTTAGTCCTCAAACTAACATCATTGCTCCTCAATAATGTTTTGGGTTTTTTTACTATTATTAATTTTAATAGACATTTACAGAGGTTTTGGATTTCCATTCATTCATTGCCGCACTTTTCTCCCTGCCCACCCCTCCCCACCAGCTCCTCAATAATTTTTAAAGGTCCCTGACTGCAGACCTTCCCAATGCAGTATGTCTCCTGATACCTGACTGCTGGTCCCAAGTCTATTGATTGTGGTTCCAAACAAAATTACGTGATTGACATATTCAATATTTTATCTTTCTATCATGATGTTGGCGGTCAGTCCAGTGGTAAGAACTTTGTTTTCTTGATGTTGAGATGCAATCCATACTGAGGGCTGTAGCCTTGATCTTCTGCAGCAAATGTTTCAAGTACTCCTTACTTTCAGCAAGCAAGGTTGTATCATTTGCATACTGAAGGTTATTGATGAGCTTCCCTCTAATCCTGCTGCCACATTCTTCTTCAGAGTGTGGATTCTTTAATAGTATGTTCAGCATACAGCTTGAATGAGGTGACAGTGGGTTTTGGGAATACTGTGACATGGAAAGGATATATAGCTCAGTGGGGAAAAAAAAGAAGAGAGTTCAAAACATTAAAACTTTAATTCAAGGAACTTAATAGTCTTATTGCAAATACACGGAATTACACCCTAAGGTGGAAATCTATCTCACTCCATTCTACTCAGGCCAGAGTGCTGAGGTTGTCTGGGGATATACCCTCACAAACAGACATGTCCAAACACTGACAATCACAGAGATTAAGTGGATGGGAATCTTTTCCCTTATGCCACAGGACAATTGGAAGGGTAGACAGCACTGGAATGTTCTCTAGGATTACATGGAACCTTTCTTGGGAGTTGAACTCAGTAACCTGTTTCTGCCTGAATGGAACATAGCACCTTGACTTTGATCTTGTGAGCATTTTCAAATACTGCCACCAACATCAACTTTAGAGAAAACAACCATGGTTGAGGAGTCCTCAGTGATATTCATGAGAACCCTGGCCTTCTCAGAACTCTAGAAAATTCTTCTTGTACTAGGGATAAAGTTCTGCAGCTTGTTTCCTTACAGCTGGGCAATCAACATTTGCTCCTCCTGGGTTCTATTCATTTCTCAAGGATATCTCTCTTCAGGTTGCCCCCTGAAAATTCAAAGAGCATCTGAGCTCCCCAGAATGCATCATTGGAGGCTGGACTGTCAGGACACTGCACCTGGAAAACCAAACCCAACATCATCCACTCAGCCAGCAGACTTGAAAGGGTTGCTATTCCAATTCAGATAATTTCCTGACCCTAAGTGGACCCCACTCACTTCTGGAGCCTCAGACTCAAGCATGCTCCTCCCATGGCCTTTCATACCCACTTGCCAAGCCCCCATCTCATCACTTCCCACCATCAGCCCTCTCCCCTCGTCCATCTGCCTAGATGAATCTCTACAAAGGCTTCAGTGCAGGCTCTCCTCTGTGCTAAACAATGGGATTCAGAGGGTCAGTGAGTGCAAAGTTCTCACCTGGCCAGACAGCTGGGGTGGGCTGAGCTCCACATTAGACACAGAATGAGGGAAGCATGACATGGCCTGTACTGGCTCCTGGGAGCTAGAAAAGAGACACGGTGTCAATTTAGGCTCTGACTAAAGTGCCTGCAGATGCTAAGGAATCCTGTCTGTTTATTCAGTGATATGTATTGAGAACATTCTACACAATCTACAGACAAAGACTCTTTATAAGTATTTTATGTCCATCACAAACAAAACTTCATGCTCAGGGACTTCGTTTGTTGTGGAGAGAATCAGACAGCAATGAAGAGGCTGCTAGGGTGGGATAGCTGGTACCACACTGAGTAGAGAGGGGTCACAGAAGCATTTCAGGCAATGTGTCTAGGCAGGCCTTCTGTAAGTAGAATCACAAAGACAGGTGATTCTAGAGGGAGGAGCTGGTGAGGACTGTGAAAGAAGATGAGAAGTCAAAGTCATAGCTCAGAGTAAGGACTGAGAACAGGTAGTAGAAAGTGGGACCGGACAACTACTCTGGATAATAGTTCAGAAATCTCTTTAAAACTTACACAGAGGCACGTGTCTATTGACTTTTCTATATTCCACCAGTAGGCATTCTAGGAAAATATTTAAGAAAACAATTACATTTACTTTCTAATAGCATCTAAAATAGTAAAATACCTGTGGCTGTGGTTGTTGTTATGTGCCATCAAGTCGTGTGCAACTCATAGCAACCCTTTGTACCTTAGCTCTGATACCTGCCCTATCCTGAGTCAATCTCATCTCCACAGACAGACCTAATCCCATTTCTCTGGTCACTGAATCAATCCATCTCATCCTGGGTCTTTCTCTCCTGCACTGTCCCTACACCCTTCCAAGCATGATGTCCCTTTCCAAGGACCAGTCCCTTGTGGCCATATACCCAAAATATGCAAGATGGAGCCTCAAAATCATTACCACTGAAAGGAGCACACCAAGCCACAGGAGAGTTGGGGGCTCTGTGCCAAGAGTGAGCACTCTCCATTGTCTGTGGAGAGACAGGACTGAGTCATCCCTGGGGTTATAGGTAGCTCCATCCAAGGGTCCTGGCCACTATGGCTACAGGGCTATCCCAGGGGCCAAACAGGACAAGAGATTTAGTACACAGAACCTCTGGCAGAAGGAAGGGATTTTTATAGCTCTCTGCAAGAGAGAGGGGGAGCTGACTTGAGACCCCCTGCACACAAGCTACTTGAGCTGGCAGCTCAGACTTCTAATCTCGTGCCACTCCAGAGACAAAGGAAGATACTAAACCTCAGGAGAAAAGGTGCATAAGAAACTGCCTGAGTAGAGCATCTGGTTTCACACTACTCAGTCACTTCATATATGAAAGAGACCTAGAGAGTTGATGTCAAGGGACTACATTAAGGTGAGATTCCTACAGGGCTGCATTGCAGAACAAAGAGAACCTCAAGGACTTTACTAAAGGCACATTTTCCCCTATAGAACTTACAGTGGAGTGAGTACCTCACCACATTTTAATTTGGCAGTAAACTAGTTGTACATTGTACATATCCTGCCCTGGACATGCTCACTAAGTTGTGTCAAGGAATCTGGAGAACAACCACTTGGCCAACTGACTGGAAGAGGTCTATATTTGTTCCCATCCCAAAGAAGGGCGACCCAACTGAGTGTGGAAACTACAGAACAATATCATTGATTTCACATGCAAGCAAGATTCTACTGAAGGTTATCCAAAAACAACTGGAACAGTACATCAGCAGAGAACTGCCAGAAGTCCAGGCTGGGTTTAGAAGGGGTCATGGTACTAGGGATATTGTAGCTGATGTTAGATGGATCTTGGCTGAAAGCAGGAAGTACCAGAGGAATGTCTATCTGTGCTTCATTGATTATGCAAAGACGTTTGTGTGGACCATAACAAACTGTGGCTGACTCTGAGAAAATGGGAATCCCAGAACACTTGATCGTGCTAATGAGAAACCTATACTTGGACCAGGAAGCAATCGTCAGAACAGAGCAAGGGATCACTCACTGCATGGTTCAAAATTGGGAAGGGCATATGCAATTGGGAAGGGCGTATGCCAAGGATGTGTTCTATCTCCATACCTTTTCAGCCTGTATGCAGAGCAGATCATTCGGGAGGCTGGGCTCTATGAGGAGAAATGTGGCATCAGGATTGGTGGAAGATCTATTAACAATGTGCGTTATGCAGATGGCACAACCCTGCTTGCTGAAACTGAGGAGGACCTGAAGCGCTAGCTGCAGAGGGTCAAGGACTGCAGCCTCCTATATGAATTGAGGCTCAATATTAAGAAGACAAAGATTCTCACCCCTGGACCAATTGGCAGCATCAGGATGGATAGTGAAGAGACTGAGATTGTTCACACCTTTAGTCTGCTTGGCTCCACAATCAACACTCTTGGTACCAGCAGCCAGGAAATTAAAAGACGTATTGTGATGGGAAAGTCTGCTGTTAGGGATCTCTCTAAAGTACTGAAGAGCAACAGTGTCTCTCTGGAGACTAAGGTGCGTCTGATACAGGCTATGGTCTTTGCAATCACTTGTTATGCATCAGAGAGTTGGACAACGACTAGGGAGGATAGAAGGAGAATTAATGCTTTTGAGCTTTGGTGTTGGAGAAGAGTATTGAGGATACCACGGACTGCTAACAAAACAAACAGATTCATCCTGGAGAGGGTTAAACCAGGCTGCTCCTTGGAGGCAAGGATTCTGAGGCTTCATCTGACATACTCTGGTCATGTTTTAAGGAGAATCCGGTTCTTGGAGAAGGACATCATGCTTGGGAGGGTGCAGGGCAGGCGCAGGAGGGGAAGGCCCTCTACGAGATGGATTGATTCGGTGACTGGGGCAATCGGAGTGTGTGTCGGAGAAAATGAGATTGGCACAGGACAGAACAGAGTTTAGGGCTGTTGTACATAGGGTTGCTATGAGTTGCAAGTGACTTGACGGCACATAACAACAACAATGAACTAGTAACATTATAAAGGCAAGAACCAACAACAACTTTCACAGACACAATAGAAATGACCTAGTGACAAATAGTCACTTGTCAAGAAAAAACTTCACATAACGTCAAGAAAGCAACAGGCAGCTTCAAACACCATGAAAAAACAAATTAAGCCTTCTTAAAAATAATACTAAACCCAAAAACCAGACGATATCAGAGACCTCATAAATGCCCCAGAGTCAAGAAGGCAGATGATATATATTGATATGGAGACCTTCAAACAGCTATGAATAAAAGTATAAAAACAGTGGAAGCCACAGATAAAGTGAATAACACAGAAGTAGAGAACCAGAAAAAAAGAGATTGATAGACTTATTTGAATAGCTACAGAAGGTGCAAATAATGGAAGAAACAATGGAAACCAACAAGAAAGCAAGTGCTCCATAGACACAGAGCCACAAGAAATATACTGAGAATTAGGAACTTGCACAAATATGGAAGAAAATGAAAGAAAAAAGGAAAAAAGAATTTATAGATAAAGAGATACAAGAACTTCAAAAATCATCACAAGATGGAGAGGGTACTGCCAACACAGTACTAGAAGTAACAGAAAGGCATGAAAATGCAATCCCAAACATAAAGACTGAAATGGAAGAAGTATACAACATGTTGGAAAGACAAAAGTGTAGACCATGAGATGGAGCAGAGAGTGAGCTGAAGACAAGAACCTCAACAGAAACATACAAGAAGAAAAATCAAAGATGACATTTAAAGAAAATGAATATTAAAATTACATGGGATGACATTAAAAATAATAACATGTATGATTGGAATTTCAGAATATTAGTGGGATAGGGAAATCACTGAGAAAATTGTGGAAGAGGTACTAGAAGAAAACATCTCAGGTGTTCTGAAGACTGAAGACACTGAGCACAATTGGAATAAAAGGAAATTTCCTCAACATAGTCAAAAGTATATGTGCAAAACCAAGAGCCAATAGCATTCTTAATGGAAAAAGACTAAAAGCATTTTATTTGTGAGCAAGGACCACACAAGAATGTCCACTGTCATCACTGCTATTCAGTACTATATTGGAAGTACTTGCTAAGGCAATGCAAGAGGAGAAGGAAATCCAAGGCATCCTGATCGGCAAAGAGATGGTTAAACTGTCACTCTATGTAGATGATATGATATTGTACACAGAAAACCTCAAAGACTCAACCAAAAAAACTGTTAGAGCTAGTTTCCTGTTCTTCTCAGAGTCAGCCATAGATTGTGATCCACAAAAAATGTGAACCAATATAAAACCAACATATTTTAAAAAAAATCCTTACCTCCAGAGAGCAGCCTGGTTTCACTTTCTCCAGGACAGACCTGTTTGTTCTCCTGGAAGTCCTTGATATGTTCAACACTCTCCTGCACCACAACTCAAAGGTATCAATTCTTGTATCATCCTTAGTCATTGTTCAGCTGTCTGATGCATAGCAAGTAACTGTGAAGACTATGGCCTGGAGCAGGTGCACCTTACTCTCCAGACTGACATTGTTGTTCTTCAGTACTCTAGAAAGGTGCCTAACAGCAGACTTTCCCATTGCACGTTGTCTTTTTATTTCCTCACTGCAGTTGCCAAGAGTGTTGACTGTCATACCAGCAAGCTTAAGCTGTTAACAATCTCAATCTCTTCTCCACCTTTCATGAAGCTGCAAAGTGGCTCAGTGTTGAGAAACTTTGTTTTCTTGATGAGCTTCAATCCATACTGAAGACCTTCTGCAGCAAACGCCTCAGCCTCAGTTTCAGCAAGAAAGGCTGTGTCATCTGCATAATGCAAGTTGTTGATGAGTCTTCCTCAAATCCTGATGCAGCATTCCTCCTTATATAAAGTCCAGCCACCTGAATTATGTATTATGCATATAGATTGAAATGGTATGGCGATAGGATTCATCCCTGATGCACACCTTTCCTGATCCTGAATCATGCTGTGTTTCCTTGCTCTGTTCTGAATACTGCTTGCTGGTCCAAGTAAAGGTTTCACATGAGCACAATTAAGTGTTCCAAGATCCACATTTTTCTCAAGGTTAGCCACTATTAGTCGTGATCCACCAAGTCAAATGCCTTTGCAAAATCAATGAAACACA